TCGACAGCTTCTGGTCAGTAGGGCAGTTTTGCTTCTGATGCTGACTCCCAGTTGGGGTGATGGAGGCAGTTATGCCACAGGTCTCTTATCATCCAGCAGACTGGCCCAGGATTGTTGACATGGTGGCTTCAGGTGCAGGGGACAAGCTCCAATGAGCAAATGCTTTTTAAGCTTCTTTGTTCATCAGATTTGCTACTCTTCGCTTGAGCAAAACAAGTCATATGCCCAGTCCTGGTGTTATTGTGGGCAGTTATTTAAAGTCAAGATATAGGGAGACATGAAGAAATTGGAGTTATTAGTGCATGCAATCACTGAGAACTAAATATAAAAATACTGGAAATGGCACTCATTTCACCATCTCTTCCTACTGTAGTTGACATGGCTTCTTTAACGTAGCTCTTGTGTTTGATATAGTCATTATCTATGAATTCTAGGGTGGTATGGTAAAAGAGACAAGCTACAAGAAAGGCCAAAAAAGTTATATATAGTATGAGACAATATATTCCTGCTGGTAATAATACCTAGTGCCTATTTAGCATCTTAATGGATGCCAAGTACTAGGCTAATACCTTCTCAAGTATGCAAAGTAAATATATAATTTCTGCTTTTCAGATGATAACACTAAGACAAATCTAGTAACTTGCCCAAGGTCAAATAGTGACTAAAGAGCTTGGGTACAAACATGGGCCTGATCAAACACTCATGCTCTTTCTGCCACCCCGCTCCGCAGCGGCTCCTTGAGAGAGCCCATGGTCAAGGCTGACAGTACAAGGCAGACAATAGAAAGCTCCTAACATCCAGGATAATGGGTATAACTGTCAATATCCTTTTTCCAATGAAGGAACTTGTGTGTTCTTATTAACATTTGAACTATTGTTCCATGAACACTTTCTGCTATAAAATTCTAATTGTAAATCACAACAGCCATGTATTGATTAAAAAAAAAAAAAGAAAACCAAAAAATTAGTGGAAAACTTTTAGCAAGGATAAGTAATGTAGATTTGTTTGGAATGAGGGTGTGGATCCCATGACAATAAAATGTAGGTAGCTCAAGTTTCCTTATTTAAAGTGTGAGATGGGGGTGGGGAGGGGATGGGAGAGGGGGGAGTCTTGGGGGTAGGCTAAGTAGACTGACAGAGAGAGAGAGAGGAAACTATGGAAAGGATGCCATAGTGATGGAGTTGAAGGAACTTTAACACTCTGCAAATGTGTGAATCCTTATTACCTAATTTAACATTGAGAAATTGTAGAATAGAGTCCTCTTTCCATGTCCCACAGGCAAAAAGGGGTTCCGGAATGTGTTTGAGATTTTTTTTGGGGGGGTTTCCATGATTTCTTTTTCCACTCCATTTTAGCCCATTGTTAAAATACCTGTGCTTTTTCCCAAAACATATGGAAAAAATAGAGTCAGGACCAAGGACAGATACTTGTTGTCCTGGCCTTCCTGGAGTTTCTCTGAGCTGCCTTCTCTTTCTTCCTGCTGCCCTAGTGGGACATTGATGACCCCTTGAATGTTATCTTGGGTATTTGTTGTAGAAAAGATGAGAGAACAAACTTCAGTGTAGGTGGGAAGGGAAGCTTTCATGTGGAGATAATAAGGTAAAAGGCACCTTTCTTTCTCTGAGGGCTCTCTTTTCTAGAGGATCCTTACCTGCTAATAAATATTAGAATCATCACAATACTATAGTGAATGATTGCTTTTTTCTTACTGATTCTCAAAAAACTGAATTCAGAGACCATGTCATATCCTAATTTCAAACACAGAATATTGTGTAAGTGTTCAATAAATACATTTTATTGTCAATCTGTATTAATGTTCTTTTTTTCTTTTTGGAACTTTTGAAATCTTCAGTTAGAAGTTGAGAAAGAAAAAATAAATGTCCCTATATTTAGAGTTTACTCAAAGCTCTCTTGTTTTTTAAAAAAGATATTTTCAGCAGCAGGGGCTCTTAGTTACCCAAATATTAGATTCTTAAGGAACACAAATAGTTAAAGAGACTATTTTTCCACTGCCAGGATCCATGAAACTGATGTAATTTCTTCCTTTGTCTCTCTCTTCTATATCGTTCCTTATCCTGTGTGCTGGTGCCATATTGTTAGGGCCTATCAATATCATAGGTATTAATTAGAAGTGTTTTGTCAGTTCTGAGTTCTGTATTTTAAGAAAGCTATTGCTGTACTGATTCGTATGTGGTGAGAGGAAGATACCCTCAGGAGAAGTGCTCAGAAACGATACCTGTAACTGGCACTTCAGGCAACTAGTGGTGATGAATCTAGAGAAGAAAAGGCATGATAGATGTCTTGATTACTTGCAGGATTATGCAACACCCAGCTTACACCAATATGTAGACATTACAAGTAAGTTTATCCTAGGTAACACCAGGAATCTAACCAACACTAATAAGTAGACATTACAATGGGGAATATATATGCTCAGTAGGTTAAAAATAATTACAACTGGTGATATTTAGCAATAGTATTATCTGAGTCCAATCCATGAAGCCAGAACATATTCAAGTCAAATGAATGTCCTTGGAAAATGCAAACTTATAGGAAGGTCCAAGAAGATAGACTGTGGTCAGACCATACTGCACAAGACAGTTCATGACTGCATAGCCAGAGCAGAAAGAGACTCTTTTGGAAGTGCTAAGGTGCTTCTACCTTAAGTGCCTCTAGGAGATATTTGTTAGTGGCATCCCAGGTTGTAATTCTAAATACTTTTCCTGAAGCCACTTGGTTTTATATAGTGGCTCTATAGTATGCTTACTAATACAGATAATTAAGTAGACTTACGTTAAGTGACTTGGGAACCCAGTGCCCATTTATTCATTAACTCAGCAACTATTTATTTATTGAGTGACTACCATACTCCAAGCACTGTTCTAGTCTCTGCGGATAGAACAGTGAAGAAAATGAAAAGGTCCCTACACTTAAGGAGCCTATATTCTAGTGACTACCCATATTGTACAAATAAATGTATAAAGAATTAATGTGAATTCTAGCTAGAAATTGATTTTCCCTTTTACATGTGTTGATGTCTGTCAAATTTGCCTTAATTCACTTCCTGAATAAAGAATTCTTTTTAAACTATGCTTTAAGAGAATGATCATAACCATCAATTATAATTTGTACCCTCTTCACATATATGGTATATATATTTCAAAAATTAAATGGAAATATTTTCCTTTTCTATAAATATTTCTACTTCTCTGGTGAAAGGAAAGATAAGGGCTCATGCTTCATGCATTGACATGTTTGAGATTTTTCTTATTCAGAATCTTGAATTTGTAGTTACCATGTAATTCTGTCCAAAATCGATTTCTTGGGTTACTAAACCATTACTTAAGCTTTTTGGTGTCCTCTGGGTTATGAAGACCAAACAATTCAGCAAAATATACAATTTTCAAATTTTAATATCACATTAAAAAATGAGACAGTGATGTCATAAAATAATGTTAAATATTAGAGAAGGGATACCAGGGGTTATGAGGCCTACAGACCTCTGTTTTGGAATGAAAACACTGAGGCAGAGTAACTTTCTAAGGCCTGGAACCTGTCTTCTGGCCCCCAGGCCATGGGTCTCTCCACCACTCCATGTGTCTCTCCACCACTCCATGCAGTTCATTTTCTCCGCCATTACGCTGTAAGCGTAGCTGAGGCCCATTGAGAAGGCTGCAAACAGGCCATGCTGCAGACCTGGCGTGAGTGTTCCTAGCGTCCTAAGGCGCTGCCCCAAATCTCCTGTCAAATGCAGGATATTTGTTACCCCAGCCAGCTGGCTCAAATTCCCACTTACACCATGGTTCAGCTAAATCCTAGCAGGCAGTTGATTTTCTAGTTTTCAGTGTTAGAATATGTGCTATCTTAGCCAATAATTAGTTTCTAAGTTTTTTAAGGTATTGATAAACATTTACCCAGAAGGTCTGGTTTTTTGAGCACTTACTGGGTACCTAGCAGTTTGTTAAGCCCTTAACACATTTCAACTGTTTAATTCTCAGAACCTCTAAGGTGGACACTCTTTTCATCCCCATTTTACAAATGAAGCTGGAGGGAGGGTATGTGTGGTGCCAAAAGAATATAGGGCTAGTTAGCATCACGGAGTAGAATCTTGCTCTTAACTCCCATCTGACTTAATGTTACCTTAATTTGGCAGCAGGAGCCACAGACCCAGAGAATTTAGGTAATCTGCTCAGGATTATGAAAGTCTGGTGGGGGGTGAGGGTGAGTTACACTTTATATACGATGCTGGTTGATTTAGTTGCTCTTAGAATGGCTCCTTCTGCCGGCCTCAGTGAGTTCTTAATCTATTATTTATCTTACAATAAAAGAAATCATTTATATACTTAGAGGAGTTGGTAGTTTTAAAAGGTAATAGATATAGACACTTAAAAATTTCCTTTGACAAATTACTGTTTTTTTAATAGCTGTTCGATTTCTATGGAAATACTGAATGTTAAGCCAGCTTTTTTTTCACATTTGTTGATAGTGGGTGCTTTCATTTGTAATGTGAAATCTTTGGGGTGCTCTGGTGTAGACTTGGTATTTTCATCTGCCTAGTATGCTTGTTATAATGTGTCTTCCAAGTGAGATTTAAAAAAAAATCCCTGATATTAAATAGTGATTCACTCTTTATCCTGAAGGCAGGTAGACCAGCTATTTCTGACAATGTACTGAAGTCCATTTTGTTGCCTTTTTTTTTTCACTTTGTCCAACCCAACAATAATTTCACTGGAGGAGAAAAATTAAAATTGCCTCATTGACTGTGTAATGATATCTGTTTTTCCTTCATAGAAATTAAAGCAAAATCTTAACAGTGACTTTCCAGGGTTCAATTGTACTTTTAGAAAAATACCTACCAAGTTCTCAAGGCTTTGTTTTCAAGATAAACCTTTCTGTTCTGAAGCATTTAGCTTGTGTTTTTTGAAGTAGAGTATGGATAAGAGTCCATTTAATGAAATTCAGAGTTGACTCATCTTTTTTCTCCCTTCCCTCTCCTCCAGCTCTTTCTCTTTGTTGTCTGGAACTTTGAACTCTACATGATCCCACTGGTTTTGTTGTTACTATTGACATGGAATTACTTCTTGATAATATCAGGGAAAGATAACAGGCAACGTGATACAGTAAGTCTCTACTTTTGTATTTGTATGTGTTTTTGTTCTTTTTCCTAGTCTCTCTGACAAGATCAACATTGAATTTGGTTTTACAAACCAGAAATTCTGCCTATAAATACTCAAGCTTGGAGGAAAATTTTATCAGCTCAAAGCTAACAACTCTTTGGTCCTAACAAAATAGAAAGTATTCACCTATTCCTAACATTACTTGTGTTGATAGGAAATAGTCAAGAGCACACTAAAGAATAAGCTGTAACTTCTGATTACAAGCAGGTTATTCCAAATGATTGTTTTGTTTATTCTCCTTATTTTTATGTCTTAATGAATCTTGAATTGAGACGTAATACCACAAAATTACTTATGATCAGACCAAACGAATATATATTTAAGACATTTCTCTGTGGTCTGTCTTTGGAAGGAAGGAAGGATTGTTGGTCACTGGCTTGGAAAAGTGCATAAAGTACCTTAATTCAATGAACATTCCCTGAACAATAGCAAAAATCCTTTTGTGTGTTGGGACTGTTTATTTGGATACAGATAAGGCCAAGAATGGAGAGCTTTCCTTTAACCTGGGGAAAGTTACACTGAACCTCCCTGCCCTCTCTAGCATTTTTTGAAAGTTTCTAGCGTTTGTGAGGCAACCTTCTCTCTCAAACAGAGTTTTAGACAGAAGCAGAAGCTAGCCACATTATAATCACATTTGTTGTTTTTCTGCCAAGCTTCATTCCTCTTAGATTGTCTTTGTCACTCCACCCCTACAAAACATACAACTTTAAAAAAGCCTTCCCATGTATAAATAAATGAGGGGGTGGGGGGCCTTCCCCAAATAGACATTTGCAATTTGATAACTCTACAGACAACTGTGGAGAAGAATTTGAAGGCTTATCTAACATGAAAGTCAATTTGATAGGTCTATGTCCTCATCAGATTACATGAATTTTCTTTTTATTTGCCATTGAGGGTCTCCATTTGATTTATGATCAGAATCTTTTGCCAACTACTGTGCCTGTGATGAAGCAGGAAATAGTTATTTGATCATGAGTGTAATAGTATTATATCATTCTTTATTGTAATAGCATCATAATGGTTGCACAGACATACCTGTGACATAAAAGAATTGCCCTCTTAAGTAACTCAAGCAAATTATACTTCAGATGGTAACACTAGCAAAATATACCTCAAAATAATTTTATCATCAAAATGAAATGAAAATCCTGATGCACAACTGCCAAGTACATGCAAAGTTGCCAACAACGCAACCATGTTTAGTTCCCTGTATTAACCGTATATATTTCTTTTACTTTCCCAAGGTTATAAATTTTAGGGGGGCTCTTGGTTCACCTTGGTACTTGCCACTGCCTCTAGCAAGTGTCTTGCAAACTAGAGGCATTCAAACCATTTTTTGTAAGTTTATCAAACAAAATGTGAGATTGCTAACTGAGATTTTAATGGTTAGATAGCATCAACAGATGAGAAGTTACTGTTATTGGCCAGGGTTTTATGGATATATATTTAAATCATACACTGAGAGACAAGCCCCACAAATGCCTCAAGTGTGATGGGGACTAATAGGTCCTTTTGTCAATTAATCCAGAATTTTTTTTTTTTTAGGAAAATATGAGTCAGACAATTGCTTTTTTGTGCCATTTATTTCAAGGACATTGTTGAGAACGAATACCTACTTTTCATTCAGTTGCCTTGAGACAAATTTGTCACTAAGGTTATTTGCAAGTAGGAAAAAGTGGTAATTTAGTTTCAGCTTCTTAATCCTGTAAGGGGGCATATCTTCAATGTTTAGTCATTGTTTTGAGTATTAGTGAAAAATTTTGAAACTTGACTTTTATCATCTCCAGAAAATACCTGCCTTGGCTGGTAAAGTCCACTTTTAGAGGGAAAATAATAACATATAATGTATCCCCTTGCACTTCAAATTCTCCAGAAATTTTTATAAGCCTATTGTAATGTTACATATTATGTAAATTTTTCTACTGCCCCTTTTCCTCCAAAGAATAGTAACTCCAAAATAGTATTTAGAGAATCTTTTCTTTTAGGCACGTCTGATAGACTTCTCCTTTTAGCCATGGACACCATTTCATTCCCCAGCACAGCCCACTGTGAAACATTCTATAGTCTAACTTTCATGGAATGCCAACTATACTCCATAACTCCCAGTAATTGCCTTTTATTTGCCCAAAACACCCATACCCACATATTCTGTTCTTTCTAGGCACCAGAGCAGCAATCACAATGTTTCATTCAGCTTCTTATTCACTGGCTCAGTTGAGACCTTACGTAACTCTTAAACCCAATTTGTCTAATTATGTGTTTTCTGCCATACCCAGCTGTGCATTTGAACTGGTTGCTCCTTTTGAAAAGAAACCTGCATTATACATTGCTGGTTCCAGACTGTATACACACATGCACACATGTATATATACATAAACTTATATTCATACAAACACACATGTATTTAAATTAAGGGAAAGTGTTTTTAGGGGTTGCCATTACTGTACCCAAGTGGCTACTGCATAGTGCATAGCACTAGAGTGGTACTTTGGCCTTGAGTCCTTACTGGTAGCCTGAAAACAAAGCAGAATCTTTCAGCATGTGTGAAAACTTTAGGGAATCTCTGGAGGGCATTAATCACACCATTGGCTGATTCCAAACCAGGAAACTTTGTTTTAGGAGTAGGGGACAGGCAGAGGGGGGGATGGGAAGGCAGGCAGGTGGGCAAAATTTCTGTTATGAAAAAAAATCACCTGTACCTTCAGCTGAAAAAATTCAATTAGGATAAAAATTATAAAAGCAGATCAAAATGACCTTCAGCCTTGTATAGCAAAGAGAGGAAAAGAACTAATATTTCCATGATGTAAAAAGTTGAAAGAGAAAAGAAAATACTGTGAAAGATGTAAAGGACATAGATGGGTAAAAATTCTGTCTTCAATATACTGGTTGATGATTGAGATTAGTACTGAAATTGGAAAGGATTTCTTTGTGTGTTTGTTTATTAAGGAGACCATTTCCTTTCTTGGAGACTTAAGATCACAGGAGCTAAAACTTCTATCTTTTCCCTATCATGGTGCCTGTTTTATTTCAATAAGAAAAATGAAATGTAATCTTTGCCAACTAAGTTTTGCCACGTTTAATGAGCTGAACCCTTTGAGGACAGGATAAGGAAACAGCCATTCCTGAGTCTAATGCTCTAGACCCGGAGGTGCACATGAGAGAGGTGAGGTTAGAAATGGTAGGTCACCCCTACTGTTTCCCAGTCGGATTTGCTCACAATCAGCACTCCTAGATCTGAACCTGCCTATACTCAGACCATGACATTAAAATTTCTAGCATGAGAATTGTTGGACTTTTCGAGAGAAAACTGTTTAATACGTGCTTCATTCAGAAGTATCTTTGGCATGAAGGGTATATAATGATAGGAATGTTGTCCTTCTCTCCATTTGCACTGTCATTCCAAAACCTGGAGAAAATTCCCCCTGCACTTTACATTAGGTCTGCACCAACTGTCCATACTGTAGTTAGCGTGGACTGAAATTTTCTAAGTTGAAGAGTAGGTGCCGGGAAGTGACCTTTAACCTTAGGTTTAAGAACCACACTGAATTCTTATTACACCCTGGGCACCATGTTAAGCACCATCTTTCATCATGTCATTTAGTCCTTCCCCAGGAAGGGGAAGCTGATGGTGGCCACCCAGCCAATGGGTTGGGGACTCCTAAGTTCAGGTGAACTCCCCTTCCTCTGTAGCACATACTCAGGAGGGACAAGCACGGCATAAGAGCCCTTCCTTGGGAGAGAGGAATCAATCTCAGAGAATGAAAGAGTAGGTGGACGAAGTGACTCAGGGCTCATGGCACTCCCTATGAGACAGGTGTCTTTGTTACTACTTTATATACAGGGAAGCAGAGTAGACAGGTTAAATAGCATACCCAAAGGCACGCAGTCAGAAAAATCACACCATGAGAAAGGGATTAGAATCTGCTGATGTGACTGAAGTTTGTACTCCTAACCATATTTTGGTACATCCCACATCTCCCTGGGCACCCTTAGAGCAAGTTTTTCTCTTGAGTTAAAGAAATGCCAGTAGCACTAATTCTACAGGCAGACAGATTGATGGAAAACCCTCATTTCCTCTACCCCTCTACCATCTTTATCTCTCATTCAGGGAAATGGAGCAGATCTTTATTAAGCAGCTTCTATGTATCATGTATCCTGCTAAGCTTTTTAGAGATATCATCTCTTAATTCTTTACAATAACTATGGCAAGTAAATTACTCTAAATGGTTTTATCTTCATTTTACAAATGAGGAAATTCAAAATCAAAAGGGATAAATAGTGAATTTCACGAGGTAAGGGGGATGTGAACTCAGCTCTGCCTTGTTTTGAAGCCCCAAGCTATTTCCATGCTACATCTTGGGGATGCCTTCCCCAAAGTATCACTTACTAAGTGTCCAGGGCCTTACATGGAATCCCAGTGTTCCCCAAATTCCTTACCCAGTTTAATCCCAGGTGACCTCATTAATTTCTACATCATTCATGACCTGGAGGACTACCTTCCCTCCACGCAGGTGAGCATGGGAAGAGCAAACCAAAGCTGAGAACCCTTCACATGAGTTAAGTAAATCCTTGACTATCTTTGACCTATAAAAGTTCTGCAAACAGTGTTTTTAAAATTCCACTTGAAAAGACCATTCATTTTTTTCTGTCGTGATGTCCTTCCCACATAACATTAAAAGACTGAAGAGTAGGGTGAATCAGTGAACTCATTCTCTGACTCATGATCCGACTGTGACACACATTGAGCCAAAGTCTGCTATGCTAAAGACTTAGTAAATACTGAAATGTTTTGTTAGCTCCCTCAAATGGCAAAGCCCTTGATGCCGCTTTTCCTCTTTAGGACAGTACTGAGTATTGTTTCTGAACGAGTCTGTTCCTGTTAGGCCCAGAGCACTTACCTCTAGAAATCAAGCTTGTCAGGAGAGAATTTTCTTTGCTGATAA